TGAAAAACACTGTCTAGGTTGTAAAACCATAAATCACCTTTTATCATTTCATCTGACAGACCCTACCAGAATTATATCATGGTGAAATCTCCTGGAAATGTTAAGTGTTAGGGACCAAGATAATGTTGTAAATTAACATCATCTTTACGTTTTGAAAATTATGACTTGATTCATTATATCTGAATCTGTAACAATATATAATTCTACCAAAGTTGGGTTCTTAATTTCTCAGCAATTACCTAATCTCCCAAAAACCATCATTAATGTGGACAAAAATAATTTGAAATATGTGCTAGGATGACAATTTACTCTTAAATGATAAAGAACTTGTTAAGAAAAGACTATAAGTAATTTTCAAGTATCTTCTAGCATTCATTTATATCATATAATGGAAAGGCAAGAAAGCAATCATCTTAGACTTAAATTTCCATTCCTGTTCTCAATTAATAAATATGCCCTTGGGTTAGAAAATATTTTGTCTATCTTGTTCTAATTACAGGTACTTGACTTGCCAAAGGCCAAGGGGTCAGTCAAAAGAAAGGAGGAGACAAGAATCAGCATATTCTGATTCCCAGGCCCATGAGTTTATGTTTTATAATTATTCAGCAAACTATATTTATATCATTGAAGCATTTTTGGTACTTTTATTTCTTAACATATCTGAAGTGTTTCACAATTTTAATTAATTAAAAGAAATACCCACACTGAATTGTTCAATATACCACAAACTCCTGTGCCTGCCATCCATGATCTGCTACAATCCTGGCCTCTGTTGCTTCACTGCCACCCCTTTCAGACTCTATTCTCCAACCATATCAAACAGCTTTTAGTTCCCAGAACATGACAAACTGTTTTTGCCTCTTTCTTTATGCTAATGCTGAGGAAACAGTAAACAGACATTTTCCTAATGGATCCTTTTTCACATCAATAAACCAACAAATTCCTAAACAATTGTCTCTCTCAGGTCTATCCACTCAGTCTGACTGAAATGACCATACTATACCATTATCTGCCTTCCATCCTGTCTTTCCCTGTTAGACCAAAAATCCCCCAGGGACAGGTATTCCAAATCCCAAGCACCTATGTGCTTATATAAATAAAGTCCGAGAAAATAAAAATTTAAAAACAGCTCAGCCAACCACCAACACCCAACAAATACACAAGGCAAAAAAAAGAAAAGAAAACCCAGAGTGGAAATTAGACTTAATCCAGTAAAATTTTAATCTTAACTCTGCAATTAATTTCAACTTAGTGCTTGAAATGCAAACATCTTTCACTGTAAATAAACTTATAATTCATAACTGGCTTGCATCCCAGTATGGTTCAAAAGAAGCTTAAATGTAACACATAATTCACAGAAAAGGAAATGAAAACAGCTCTTTAAATATATGAAAAGATATTCAACCTCACTCAAAACACTTTGAAATGCAATTAAAGTACACTAATATACTTTTTTCAGATTAAATCAAAAAGCTAGATAACATTTTGCATTGGTGCAAGTGTGGGAGAGCAGATACTCTCCTTGCTGGTTGCTGTGAAATGTTTATTGACCAGTGTAGCCTCTATGGAAGGCAACTTGGCAATACCTATCAAAAGTCTGAATAGCTCAGTAATTCTACTTCAGGAACTTATCCTACAAATATATGACACGTGTGACAAGATCTATATGTTACTCCTTACAGCACCATTTGCATTAGCAAAAGATTGGAAACAAAGTAAATATACATCAATACAAGACTGAAAAATAAATTATGGTACATTCATATACCACAAAACTATGCAGTCTAGTGAGGAAGAGTTAGAAAGTTTTTTATGTACACACAGAATTATTTCATATGAATAAAGCAAAGTGAAAACTATATACAGAATACATTAACTTTTGCATAAAGGTGGGAAGAGAAAGAGAGCATCTATTTATTTATATATATATAGTTATATAGGTATACTATCTTTCTGGTAGGATACACAGGAAACTGATTACACTGGAACAGTGGTTTCCTGGTGGGGGAACACTCAGCTACACAAAAATTATATGTATCATACACACAAACACTTCAATTTATCCTACATTTTTTTAAAAGGCAGGAAAAAAGTTTCACTTAAGTATCAAATTCAATTAAATACAGAAAAGATATTCACAACAGAATTAGATATTATAACGTAAATGCAACATTTTTTATAAATGTTCTCACTACTGTGACACCGTAATATATTAAACTTGTTTATAGTAAGAAATTCCAAAGAACCAAATTAAAATTTTACTTAGTTCATTTATATCTTATATCTCTGATTCCATCATTACACAAGATAAAAGAACTTACGTTGCTACCATGGGTTTTTTCAAAAAGCACTAGTAAAATTCCACTGATTAATAAACCAAACAGAGGTCCAAAAATAAAGTTCTAGACTGTTTTCCATCAACTCAGTAAATAATAAGAGTAAGAAATTCTTTCCTCAGTATTTATGAATAGGAATTGTGGCTAACAGCATAAGAAATTAAGTCCTAGATAGGGAAAAGGCTCTTAATTTTACAAACTCCACAAATATGCCAAAGAGGGCTTCAAACTTATTACATGCAAATCACATTTTAATAAACCAGCCCATATTTTAAAAGGACTAAGGAGGCTCGCTATTCAAAAGAAACTTTCCTGATTCTTTTTTGAATGTAAATAATTTCATTATAGCAGATTTCTGTCTTTGTTTTCCTCAATGATAAAAACCCTGTTACTATCAACTTGTTCATTAAGCAAGAGGCCATTTTACATATTATTAGCATTACATACTTCAACTTTGACCTTCCAATGAATACTTCTTGTTCTCATTTATGAAAATGAAGAGATTTTGCCAAAAAGGGCTATCTTATTGCCTAGCTCAAGCACATTTTACATGTAAAGATGAAAATGAACAAAGTGACCCCCTAATATATCCAACTCTGTGCTGTAACAAACTGGAGTTACATCAGGCTTTGGTATATTTTTCAGATTTTAAGGCAAATAGTAACAAAAGTAGATGCAGCAATAATATCCATTCCAATTACAACTTCTTAATTCAAGTTAATTCACAAAATAATCTTCAGGTATTCTCTTAGAAAAAGCACAATTCAATAAATAAAATCTCAACCACACAACATGCCTAGTAAGAGGGCTCCTCTGCATCTCAGATATGCTGTGTTGCTTCAGAATAACTTCATTAATATATAAAGGTGAGATGAATCAACCACCACCAACACTGATTGATAATACAGTTGTTCAAGATCTTAAAAGAACTTCAGATATCATCTGCTCCAGTGGTTCTCAATCCCGGTTGCACATTAAAATCACTTCTGGGAATGTAAAAAATATACTGATGTCAAGTTAATTAGAACTGGGGGAAGAGGAGTGCATCCATAGTTTTTTAAGTCTTCAGTGATCCTAACATGAAGCCAGGAATGAGAAGTACCAATATCTCAGATTACAGATGATCCTGAAGGTTATTCTACAAACCACTGAGATCAGTTCTCCCCTCCAGATCTTTCCACATATAGACAGTGGAAGGGGAAAATGAATTCCACATATTTCAACTGATTTTTTTAAATAAATGCATTTTAGAGCATTTACACATGGTAGAATTTCAAACTTCAAGCATAAGGCAATTCATATACCCCAGCGTTAATGCCCATCTATGCTGCTGTTGGAGATTTCTCAAGTGTTGACAAACTGTACTACCAAGAGAGGAGGGGGCAGATCAGCCAATACTAGATGCCTGATTATTAGAATTAGTGCGATAGTGAAAAGCAGACTTTAGAGCCAATCCTGGCTCTGCCACACACTGCGTTAACCTAAACCTGAGTTTCTTCACCTGCAAAAGAGGAATTAACATTTACCTCATAAGTAAGTATTAACGAGCTAAAATACCCAACACAGTACTTGGCGATAATAACGGCTCAATTTAATAAAAATAAGCTAATTAATGCCTGTTGAGTTTAAAAGCAGGGGACGGGGAAAGACCAGCGCAGGTCCCTCTAACAGGCCCATAAGCTCCTTTTCACAAATATCCCCGCTGGCGATGCCAAGCAAGGGACTGGCATAAGCAGAAGACCAGGCGACTTCACGCCTGCGGGGATAAAGGTCGCGGAGAGGAGGGCAAGGCTTGTAAGGCCGAGAGGGGCCCAGAAGCCGGCGCATCCCACCCAAAGCAGCCAGGGTTGCGGCGCTGCGGCCAGATCTCCGGGATGAACCGATGGTGGAGAACACAGCACGCAAGGTCCCTCACCTTCACCACAGCCGTCCCTCGGCTGCCCTGACGAGCACTGTCTAGGCCCGCTCCAGGCTTGTTTACAATCAGGGCAGCCATCGAGCGGCCCCGCAGAAGCCGCTGACCCGGCCTTCCACCGAGGGGCGGGGTAGAGCCACCTACCCAGAGGTCTCGGCGCTCGCCGCTGGCGCACAGGCGCAGTACGACGCGGGGCGTCGCTCGACCGACCTTTTCGCTCCTCCTTCTGCCTGTCGTTAGCTGTTTGGCGGCACAGCCTTACGCATGAGCGCTTTATTTTTACTGTTATTAAAGAGTCTGCAACTAATGGAAGGAATTTTTAAAAAGGCACAAAACAGGTTTCAGAGTGAAACTCCGTCCACTAACCATCTCTTCCCAATTGCAAAACGGACGGCGTGAGGGAAGGCTACATCTCCCTGCATGCAATGCGATTTTTGTATGAACTACAAATCCCAGCATGCCACATCAGTATCTTACTCTGCAGTGTAGGTATTTAGGAGGCCATGTATTGTTACCGGGAAATGGTTTCTTGACATGGCGATGTGTGATTGTGGCTGGCAAATAGAGAAGTATTTTATGTATACGTCTCTAAGAGGCAAGAAATGGCTTTGGTAAAAAGAAGCTGTTGGATGCGCAGATGACGTGGGAAGAAGAGAATTTAAGGCACCACCGGCAAAGAGAAACTGTTGAGTGTGTGTTTGACGCCCCTGTCTGAACGTGCGCTTTTCTGTTTTCTTCCGGGCTTCGTTGAACCTCTTCAGCCTCCGTAGACAGTGGGTCGAAAGTGCCGAGCAAAATGGAAGTGAATCCCCCCAAACAGGAGCACCTGCTGGCCCTGAAAGGTAAACTGTTGCGAGCCTGACTCCCCTTAATCTGATTTCTCCCCTTCTGTCACTTGTTCTCGAAGTCTTTGCCACGAAGACCTGGCTTCTGAGATGTAGGTCTCGTCCTTCTTAAGAACTGTCAGTGCTCGCCCTCCTGCTGTCTCCTTGGCGGGGAGCGGGAGGAAGCAATTTCACGTCTTTGCCTTTTAGGTTTGAGAGCCTCTCTCCAGAATGGAATAGATAACGTGCTAAATCACTCACTCTGTTATATACTGCTGCAATCACCGGGCAGATTTTAGCCGCAGAAGCTGACGTCCCCAGCCGAACCGGGGAGAGCCTAGTGAACCAAAATGATTTACAGCGGACATCTAAAGTGGTTTTTCCTTCTGTCTCTTGTCTCTTCATGTGGCACTGAGGCAGTTACCAGGCTTCTGCTTCGTCTGTAAGATTAGTCTAGTATCGCGCGACAACAGTGCCAAGGATTTAGAAATACACAGTACTACAACATATAATTTAGGTTTGCTCAAACTTGCTACACTTCAGAGTATTGTGTGTATGGGAAAATTCATGTCAAGTTTCCCTTTCTGTACACAGCATACAATTTTGAGTAAGTTTGTTGATTTAATTAGATCATTATTTAGGGAAAACCAGCAGGGCAGAGTTTTTCTAGCATTTCAATTGTTTTCTGAAAACCTTTTATTTGAAATGCTTTCAGGGCCACCCGGTGGCTTAGCGGTTAAGTGCGCGTGCTCCGCTGCTGGCGGCCTGGGTTCAGATCCCGGGCGTGTACTGACGCACTGCTTCTCCAGCCTTGCTAAGGCTGCGTCCCACATAAGGCAACTAGAAGGATGTGCA